GGTATATACGCGCGCCCGCACGTCCTTGTGTTTCTCTCTTATTCCCTCTTGTTAGCGACAGCGCGCCGCTGTGTGCGCGGCAAAGGGGCATGCATAATGAGCGCGAGGGTGCCTGTCGGCGAGAGGGTGGCGATCCGGTCGGAAGGGTGGAGGGAGGGCACTTGGTCACGAATCTTTCGGAATCGAGCGGTGGCTTGCGCGATACACACGGCCGCCGCGGTTCGAGCGCGAACATCCGCTGCGCGCTTCGTCCTTGCCGCGCTCCGAGGGATGAATAGGGATCGCGTTTCCGCGTCGGTCGCGTGCGCGCTTTTTAATCGCGACGGAATTTCCCAAGGTCTCTCTCTCTCTCTCTCTCTCTCTCTCTCTCTTTCTCTCCCTCCCGCATCTTTCGCTCTCCTTTCGTCCAGCGGCTCACGACAGGCCGCCGGAGAGATACCGTAAGTTCTTGTCCCGACGGAAAAAAACGGCCAGTGCGGTATTTCCTCTCGCGGACCGCAGCAATGTGTGTCTCACGCCTCGCGTCGAAGGTGGCGCGCGCGCGAGAGAGAGAGAGAGAGAGAGAGAGAGAGAGAGAGAGATCATTTTTCACTTCTCAGACGAGCGGAAAGTTCGTGCACGAGCTGCCAGCTACTTTGGACAATCACTGTCCCGTGTCCATGCGTGAGTGTATGCGCGCGCGCGCGCCTGTGAAACTTATGAATTTCATCGCGGAAGTAATTTTCGTTGTGTTTTAATCCGATCGCGATGCCCGGAGAGGAGGAGAAAGACGAGAGAGAGAGAAAGAGAGAGAGTCTCGGGCCGGCGATGTTATTGCGCTTCATATTGCGCGCACGTGTGACACGCGCCTTTAGAGGGACGCTTGTTAGCGCGAGCGAGCGAGCGAGCGAGCGAGCGAGCGCGCGCGCGCGGCCAAGATTGACACGTCGGCCGCAATTAAAACGTAAGAGGGCGAGCGGCAAATTGCGTATCAAGTTGGAGAGCGAAGTAGTCGGACGAGCGGGCGAGAAGCGGACGAAAGAGGGAGAGACAGAGAGAGAGAGAGAGAGAGAAGGAGGGAGGGAGAGAGACGGATGGAAGGCGGGAGAGAGAGCGAGGGGCACTCCTCGTATTATCATTGGTGAAATCAACTAATTAGAAATTGCGTAGACCGCTCGTTAAAGATCGCCCCGTCGACCGTAATCGCCAATTACTCCCTTAGTGTAGACCGCGTGCGCGCGCGCGGTGAACTTCGCTCATTAAAATTATTAAACGCCGCCGGCGAACCGGGGGCTCCCCCCCCCCCCGCGTTTGACGTTTCTCTACGCGGACCCGCCACGGACAGCGCGGACGGCGAGTCCTCGTCGTCGTCGTCGCCGTCGTCGTCGTCGCCGAATTTTTACGATCCATCGCCGCGCCGGGGAACTGTAAAATACAAATTACACGGGACTGTGTATTTTCAGTCGCGAATATACCGACCAAGCAAGCAAGCGAGCAAGCGCCCGACGAATCCAGGATCCGGTTTCCCCTCGAGAGAGCGAGAGAGAGAGGGAGGGAGAGGGGAGGGAGAGAGAGCGAGAGTGCACACAATGGAGCGCAGATCGCGCTCTTACCGAGAGAGCGCAAGAAGTACAAGATGTAATTAACCGTACTCGGCGAGCTGAAATATGTCCGGCTACTAGCGCGAGATAAATCCCGACGCAATCGCAGTTTTATCGAAGATTTATTGAAATAATTATTTGCCAAGTGCTCGCGGCCGAGCGTGCGCGACGCGATAACATCGCCATCGTCATAACAACGGACAATGTTTCGTTGTCATTCATCAGCGGCCAGCCGGACCGTTATACTCTCCGCGCCGGTTACTTTCGATCAATTACTCCGCCGGCCGGCCGGCCGGCCGGGAGCCGCACATATGCCTTAATCCGCCTATTAAGCGGAGCACCGGCGGACGTCTAATCTAATACAAGCCGAGCGCGCCTGATTACCATAAAGATCCGTCCCAGATGTCGAAAGGAGAAAAATCCCGGCCTATAGGTGTATTTAGTAACCGCCCAGCGAGCCCGCCGCTCTCCGCGGCGACGCTCATCATCGCCGGCTGCGCGCACACACACACACTCGTCGACGATCGATACGCACACGCTGCCAGCGCATCGTCCGGTACAGCTCCGGCTATTAATTAGCCGAATGAGATGTTTCCTTGTGGTGTTTCTTTAAGTATCGGTAATTGGAGAACGCGACGAATAATTCATGATTCCGCGCGTCGCGTCCGTCGCCCTCCGACCATTCGCTCGGCTCTATTTCGCGCTTGTATTTCTCTCTCTCTCTCTCTCTCCCTCTTTATATATATATATATATATATTTCTTCACCGCTTACACGCCGTAAATAAGATTCGCAAGCGATCGAAAACGCCTCTCTCGTCGTGTCGTCGGCTTTTCAGGAAGGTCGCGTAAAACACGCGTGAATAATGATACCGGTAATGACGTTGGGCGATTAAGGCGGCCGGAGCGTGAGAGAGAAAGAGAGAGAGAGAGAGAGGGGGGGGAGGGATGGAGGGGAGAGGAGAGAAGCAGGTTTTATGGCTGATCCTCGATCACCATCTGTATAATTCCCTCCTATCCGTTCTAGCTGATTGACTACTCGACCGTCTTGGCCTCTAATTAGTAATTATGGAGAAATCGAAAACAGAGCGCGAGCGCGCGCGCGCGCTCGCGCGATTCGACCGTGCACGCGCACCGCTCATTAACCCCGCGAAGAGGAGGATGATGATGATGATGATGATGACTACGACGACGACGACGACGACGACGACGACGACAACCACCGCGGAAACGCGCACAGTCGCGTTGATAAAGACGCGGACGCAATTAAAACTTGGCGCGCACGTTGATTCATTTGCACGCCTCGCCCCGTCCCGCCCCTCCTCGCTCCGTTTCGCCCCCTTGCGCGAGAAACTCGCGAAGAAACGCGCCGCGCGCTCTCGCGCAGCTTCGATCAGGATCTCACCACGTGGCGCGATGAGCGGTATCTTTAACACCTCGCGCCGCGAGTAACGGAGCATAAGGCGAGACTAATCGCGCCGCTTAATTGACTCGCGGCGGGATTGATTTAATAACGCGATTAAATAGTATCGCTGTTACATGCAGTTTCCAATCGCGCACTCTCTCTCTCTCTCTCTCTCTCTCTCTCTCTCTCTCTCGTCGCTCCCGCTCGGACAATCGTTTTGCAACTCGCGGTGTGTTTTGCGTTCACGATTATCACGTCCGATCACGGCGACTTTGCATTTTCTGTCTTTTTCCCTCCCCCCGCCCCCCTGTACACTCGACAGACGATGACGCGACTTTCTCCGGCTGTGTATCGCTTAACGTAACGTGTGTCGCTTGCGAGAAAGTAACGCTGCGCGGAGGATCTCGCGATCGGAAAATTTGCGCGCATTACAGTTCTCTCTCTCTCTCTCTCTCTCTCTCTCATCCCTCTCCCGCTCTCTCCTTTTCTCCCTCTGCGGCAGCAGTAGCGGTGGCGTTGGCGGCACGAGCTCGTTTGCATCCGCATTTTCCGGCGGAGGGAGCGCGCATTTATAATTGAAGCGTTGCGCGCGATCGAAGACGGAGCGCAAAAAGCGGGAAAAACAGGAAAGGGAGCGAAAGAGCGGGCGGGAAGAAGGGAGGGCGGGAGAGAATAAAAAGGAAAGGATTGAAACGTCATTCGCGGCGAGCGATCATCGAGCTCGCGCCGGCCTCCCGCCCGCCCTGCGCCCTCAGCGCGCGCTCGCGCGCGCGCGATCAGCCAGATCCCGGACAGATAAATTAGCAATTTAATTATAGAACTGTCAGCCGGTAATTAAATTAATAACGAGAAACCTCAAATCCAATCCGCTCCGTCGTAACAACCTTATGCTCGCTCTCGTGAGCAAAGTCCGACTCGAATATCGATGTGCCGCTCTGGCCGGCCGCGGATACACCCTACCGCGCGTTTCAAAGGCGCGATTCAATTAAATATTTCATTAAAGTTAAACGGAATCCCGTTTTAACTATAACGCGCGTTGCGCCCGTAACATCGCGCGCGCGGCGGCGGCGGCAGCGGCGAGGTTTAATCCCATTTCGGATCAACGGCTCCGTCGCCCCGGATCGTCGCCGATCTCCTCGAAGAGGAAGAAGACTCGATTCTCCGGCGAACCCGCCGCGAATCGTTGCCGGAGAGTGCGTGCGCACCGGTGCGTCGCCGGTGCATTCTCCGCAGCGGGACTCCTTACGCCGTTGACCGCCGGAGAGGAAGAGAGAGTGAGAGAGAGAGAGAGGAGAGAGAGAGAGAGAGAGGAGAGGCGGGAGAGAAAGAGAGAGAAAGAGGGAGAGAGAGTACGTGTGTCTGTACGCGTGATAGCGACAGAGTGTGTGTGTGTGAGAGAGAGAGAGAGAGAGAGAGAGAGAGAGAGAGAGAGAGAGAGAGAGAGAGAGAAAGACGTGAAATCGCGGTGCTCGCGTCGAATTCCCATTCGACATACCTACGTATCGTTACATAGCTAATTGCTGCATAAACAGCCGGCTTTACGAGCCACGGGTATACGGCTGACAACCGCTTCGCAAACATTAACTGCCATTAACGAGGATACGAGCGCGAGCGCGCATCGCGGCGCGCCGGTGTCGGCCGACACACTCCTCGCGCGCGCGCGTGTGCGTGTGTGTGTGTATGTGTGTGTGTGTGTGTGTGTGCGTGCTTGAATGGCCGCGAGCGAAATTGTGAAAAATAATCGGGGAATTAGCGGCGTGATCGGACACCTGGCGAGCGCGAGCGCTTTCGGGCTCGTCTCGCGTCCGTCCGTCCGTCCGTCTGTCTCGCGGACGGACGGACGGGTCGGCTGGCAGGTCGTCGATCGCGTCGACCAGGCCAAGCCAGGCCAGGCCAGGTTAGGCCAGACCAGGTTGGCTGACTGCTTGAGTCGCGCGCGCGCGCGCGCGCGTGCGAGACGCACCTCCTCTCCGAGGATCCCGAATCTCATGGTCGTGTTGCGCGTTTCTTGTTGCAGGATGTTCGGTAACAGCGGCGTCTGCGCGAGCTGCGGCAACGCGATACCCGCGTCCGAGCTGGTGATGAGGGCCGGTGCGTCGGTGTTCCACCTGAAATGCTTTAACTGCAACAAGTGCGGCAGCCAACTCGTCTCCGGCGACAGGTGAGCGCTCTTTCTTCTACCGGCTCGTCGTCTTCTCCTTGACTATTCCCCCTGCGCATCCCCCGCTGCGCGCTGCGCGCGGCTCTCTCCGCGTGATCGTGACGTCGTTATTAAGACTCCCGTTTCCTCGTCGCGATCATCTTGATTGATGACGACACACGCTCGAGGAAGTACAGGCTCTCGACGTTCCCGCGAAGCACGTTGCGGAGTGACACCTGCGATTGACCGAGCAGATTCGTCGGATAATCCAGACGGAAAGAGACTTCTGTATATATATCTCTCTCTCTCTCTCTCTCTCTCTCTCTCTCTCTCTCTTTCTGTGTCTGTCTGTCTCTTTCTCTCTGTCTCCCTCCGTCTCTCACTCGCGTCGATAACGAAGAAGAGTTACCTCCGCGCGGAGGTAACGTGTGCTCTGCTCGGCGTTCACGTCCAAAGGATTCGATGAACGATGACGATTTCTATCGCAACGTGCTTCGCGCAGGAATGTTCAGCCCGTGTCTCCTCGCGCTCTTACGACGCCAAGACGACCTGGCCGGCCCGCATTCACTTGACACCCCGTGTCTGCATTCGCAATTTCAGGTATTACCTGCTCTCCGGTTCGCCGGTGTGCGAATCCGACTGGCACAAGATCGTGAAGTCGTCGAGCGTCGCGGCGGCGGCGGCCGCGGCCGCCGGCAATGGCGGCGCGCCCGTTAGAAAAGGTAAGGTAGGTCGGCCTCGAAGGAGCCGCGAATGAGGTGGCAACCCGGTCGGTCGCCCGAAGAAGGTGCAACCCTCTCCGCAGCCGACGCCCGCCGTCGTACCGCCTCAGGTAGACGTCGTGGACGTCGCCGTCGGGGTGGACCCCTATTCGCCGCCTCCGCCGGGTCATCAGCACTACCACCACCACCACCACCATCATCACCATCATCATCAGATGGGACTCGTGCATCCGGGTCTGGCGAGTCAGCAGCAATCACACCTGCAGGCGTCCTCCAACTACCAGGAGTGGTCACCTTGGGCCCAGGACACCTGCGATTGAGCTTTCTCCCTCTTTCTGGGCCGATGCCGATCGGGATCATAGCGGTCGTAGCGATGATGATGATGATGATGACGATGATGATGATGAAGAAGAAGAAGAAGAAGATGATGAAGAAGAAGACGAAGAAGACATGGGCCCGGGTTACCCTGAGAGGATCGTTCCCAGTTGGAAAAAGAAAGACAGAGAGAGAGAGTGAGAGAGAGGGAGAGGCTCCCCGCGCGTGTAGCCTTTCATCCGTGACGTCCACTGGATACGTCGACGGTCTTCTCTCCGCGACTCGACCCCGTGACATTGCACGTGTTTGAACTTGCTGCGGCGGCCGAGCTCTCTCTCAGCTCGTCGCGATGTTGAACATGATCGAACTCAAAGCTACAGACGCCGAGCGCGCCCCGCGCTTGGCAACGCCGACGTCGAGTGTGTTGGCCGAACTTGGTGCGTGAACGCCGCGAGAAAATCGCCGCGATTGCCCTCCTCAGGGCGTCGACTGTCCGCAGTCGCGAACACCCCCTCCCCCTCAAACTGGCGCGCGAACGCGAGCTGTTCTTTTCCCTCGATACGGCCGCAGAAGAGACGATGTCGAGTGTAGTCGCCTTGAGTAGTGTCGTCGACGTCATTGCTGGAGCCCGCGAACGATCGTGGTCGATTCCTCACGCAACGCACGACGAAACAGTGAGTCCATGATGTTTAGCGCTTAGGTGTTGAATCGCCTGAGATTCACGAGCGACGTGAATGAAACCCAGCTGAATCGCTCAGTTTCAACCTTCGACGGCAGCTTCAATCTCCTCGAAGAAGTCTCCGACGAAGCGGTTCTCCGGAAGAGAAGCAGGAGCGCCGAGTACACTTGCTTACGCCGTATCTGACACACAGAGAGAGAGAGAGAGAGAGAGAGAGAGAGAGAGAGAGAGAGAGAGAGAGAGAGAGAGAGACAGAGAGAGAGAGAGAGGGGGGGGAGATATAGAAGCTCGGGGAAAAATTCCAAAGCACTGGGTCCAGCATGCTGGACAAGCAGACCCGGACACGCGGACCACAAGGCTTTCCCCGATCGCCGAGAACTCGTGCAGCCGGCTGCACGGACGGAGGCGCGGACAAGTCGAGGGTTAGCGTCGTCGCGCAGCCCGTGGCGGCAGCCGAGAGCCGAGGATCCTGCGACTCCAGCGCGGGAGGCCGAGGTTCGGCTAGGTCGTCGAGTAGCCGCGTGTCCTCCGCGCGGAGGAAGCGACGCCGGGAAAGGAGCACGAGGAGAAACGAGGAACCTCCGACGACGTGCAGCGCTCGGGCTCGAGACGACACTCGACGCAGCGCGCGAGTCCATCTCGGTTCTCTCTCTCTCTCTCTCTCTCTCTCTCTCTCTCTCTCTCTCTCTCTCTCTCTCTCTCTCTCTCTCTCATATACACACACACTCATACACACACACGCACGCACACACACACACACACACACCCACACATACACGTTAATAATAATCTTTGCTCAATTGTAAAGAATCGAAGAAAGTTTAATGTACGGACCCATCGTTGTGCAACACCGATCAGCCGCCAGTGCAGTGACTCACCGGTCTTCTTTCTCGCTGAGCCCCTCGCCCCTCGCAACGGATTTTCGTCGACTTCGGCCGCTAAAGGCGCGAAAGCGCGCGGAGCTTTCTCAAGAGCGCAGCGCAGCTCGCGCACGCCGCGGCGAGCGGCAACGAGCGCGCTTGCGGGTCGACGTCGAGCCGATTTGATCCTCGCCGGGCGATTCTTCAGTCGTTTTCAATTCGGAGAAAGAGAGAGATACACACACACACACACATACGCGCGCGCGTCATATCGGCATGTCGTTTCAGCTCGCGAGGATGTCTTAATTCTCGTCATTTCTTTGCAATTTCGCAAACGCGCGCTCGGCTTCTCGCCGTCTCAGAGAGCAACACGCGTCCTCGAGACGTCGTCGAATCCATCCGCAGTGTGACTGACGAGGATCTCTAATCGCGCACATGGAAGTGAGTCAGAGACAGTCAAAAGTAGAGAGAGAGAGAGAGAGAGAGAGAGAGAGAGAGGGGGGGAAAGGGAGGGAGGGGCTGAAAAGGAGAGAAAGTGAGAAAAATAAAAGCGATAATTTGACGACGATCTCGAATGAGACACGAAGCGCAAGTTCTGGACCCTTAGAAAATTATTTTTCTTTCAAAATCATCGCTCCCGTCGATCCACCACCGCGGCTGTATGCGCGTGCGCGCGCGCGCACTCGCGCTCCGTAAACTCATTAGGCGGCCCTTGTTCTCGCCATCGTTAATTGAGTGCCGAGGTGAGACGAACGACACGGAATTATCATTCGAATCCTCCTTGTTAGGCACCCGCATCGCCTCGCTTCGTCGCTTCCCTTCCTCCCCCTCCCTCTCACTCTCGCTCTCTTCCTCGTCTCTTTCCCGTCCCGCTCGCGCTCTCTCTTCCTCTGTCTCTCAGTGTCTCTCTCTCTCTCTCTCTCTCTCTCTCTCTCTCTCTCTCTCTCTCTCTCTCTCTCTCTCTCTGTGTGTGTCTCTCTCTCTCTCTCTTGAGAATTCGTCGTTTCCAAAGCGGCATAATCAATTAAGCCTGTTGTACAAGACGAAATCCGTTCTTCGCCGCGGCTTCGCGGCGTTTTCGCTCAGACACATCCGAATCACTTTTGCCGCGAATGTGTGTGTGTGTGTGTGTGTGTGTGTGTGTGTGCGCGCGTGTGTGTGTGTATGTATGTATGTACGTGTGAGCGTGAGCGCATTATGCAATGTAGCTGCACGTGTAAAACGTGGGAGTGATCCGACGATGGCGTAATTCGCGAGGGGAGGGAGAACGAAGCTCAATCGGCGCCGCCGCCGTCGTGTCCACGTTTCGTCGCGGGCACCCCGAAAAAAATGCGTTGGACAACGCGTTTTCCTCGATGTGGTGAGGAGAACGTCCTGGCTTGGCCCGCTGCGCAAGAGCGAGGACTCCTCTCGCGGGACTTCCCGCTGTTCGTTCGCGAAATCCAGCGGCGGTAATTGCGCGTCATCGGCGTGCGCTCGCGCGGACGTCCGCGACATATCGCACGCATACGACGTCTCCCGACGACATAATATAATATTGTATAATAAAATACATTGTATAATGTTATTTTCATGCGTGCGCGCGTGTGCGTGCGGCAGCGGCGACGGCAGCGGCGGCGACGGCGACGAGGAACGATGACATCGCGGGGCGGGCGCTCGAAGCTCAAAGTACAATGCAAAAAACAAAAGAAAAAGCAACCATCGCCATCCTCGCGGCGGATTCGCAAAGCGGCCAAGAGTTTCGGCGCGAGGTGTATAATATAAAGAAAATCGCGCGCGACTTGTGCCCTTTGGCATCTCCTTTCATTCGCCAGGATACTCTCGTTTTAAATGACATGCCCGCGCGCGTCGCCGATTAAGCGTCGTTCACACATAAACATAAATACACATACGTACACAAACGCGCACACATATGCGCACGTACACACGCGTGCTCACGCACACTCGCTCGGAAAAGTTCACCGGGGCGGTTCTCGGTCACGGACGAACTCTCGCGAGCGCGCCTCGCCAAGAGAAGAGAAGAGAAGGAGGAGGAGGAGGAAGAAGCAGAAGAAGAAGAAGAAGAACAGAAGAGAAGAAGAAGTCGTTTGCCCCGATAAACTTTCCGACCGAGAACGATGCTCAAGAGTCATGTGACGCAACGACTCGATGTTGAGAATTCAAAGCTCCACTATGCACGCTCCGTGTGCGCGCGCGCGCGCGCGCGATAGCGAGAGAGAGAGAGAGAGAGAGAGAGAGAAAGAGAGAGAAGAGAGAAAGAATTAATCACGCTCGCTTTCCCTCTCTCTCTGCCCCTCATTTGCGACGAGAACAATCACTAGTCGACGCCGAACGACGCCGTCGGTCTCTCTCGGTCGAACGAACGCGAGCGATCGATCGATCGAAGTCGATCAAAGTCGATCCCCAGGTCTGACATGACTCTACGGGCAACGACAGCAACGGAGAAAACGGTAGGAAGGAGGAGAAGGAAGAGGAGGAGGAGGAGGAGGAGGAGGAGGAGGAAAGAGCCATGTGCGCGTATAAATATAATTACAACAGATTGATATTTATATTTATACACGCGTGAGGGTCGAACGAGCAGCCGCGCTGACGGATATCGCGTCAAGGATGCACAAACTTCTTCGGCATCGACCTGGACATCTCGGTCGACGCGCGCGCTTGCGAGAGGAGCCACGACAGTGTTCCGCGTCAATTTCCGACTTACCACGAGCACCCGCACATGCATGCTGCCGTAGCCACGCCGTAGCGGCCGGGCTCTCGACGGGGAGGCTCCTCCTGGAGTCCTCCGGACACTCGTCCTCGAGAACGGCGAAGGAGCTCGCCGCCGCACTTTCCGTTTCCTTCGACATCTCTGCCGTTTTCCGTCGCCGTGCCGGTGCGCGTAATCGGATCGGACGAGCGGCTCTCTTTCTCCCCCTCCCCTCCTTCCCCCCTCCCCCTCTCTCTCTCTCTTTCTTTCTCTTTTTCTCTCTTTCTGCGGAGCCGAGCCTTCGGACCGGAGTTTGTGCATCGTTGCATTGTGTAATTTAATCTTGTATATAGGGTACATTTTGTATATTGTTAAAAGTTTGTGTGATATAAATGGTTATGTATTTACTATCGAGCGCGAACGACGAACGCGGGGCTCTCCTCGCGCGTTCGTCCTGCGCTCACGCCGAGACCGGCCGATTGCAAGGACTGCGCGCTGCGACGATCAAACGACGACGAGCGACCACCGGT